CATAGCTAGCTATGATAGTTAGTGGTGTACCCTATTAGGCCTAGGTACTCATGCCCACTTCAAGTATGTTTTGCATGTTGCCTACTAGTCAGGTTTAAACCGCATTGTAATCCAGTGAGAGTCCCTTAGTGTGTATCTATATATATATACGAACTACTAGTTATTGTTGGATTAACTAGGATATATACGTGTATCGGATCTCTGCTTGAACTGTAGTAGAGTAGAACTTGTTTATGGGCCTGACCCACCATTATTTTTCAGGTGTTCGTCAGGAGTAGAGGTTGTTCGTGCTGAGCAAGGATCAATCTACTTCACTCCTCCGGATTATCTACGTAGGAGTTCCTTTATGTTTCAGTGTTCTGACGTAAATAGTCTATGCTGTCACTTGTTCAGTTGGGTTTTTCTAAGGGTCCACATAGTGTGGATTCCCGAGTTGTATTATTATTAGAGGATTGGATGTACCAGAATATTTTATTATTTATGAAAATTTATTCTGAGGTTTCAATTAATGGATTATCATTTTAGTTTCTTTCAACAATTTATCTGTTCTTAGTTATCGTATTTGTATTCTGTACTCAATTATTACCGATTTGTTTTTTATATCCTCAGGTATTCGGGCGTGGGCCTGCCAACTCGCATCTGGAAATCCAGGGGTATCACAGCCACTACCATAGTTCCACCACCACCATCGCCACCTTTCACCACCACTTTCCATGTCGTCTTCGGTCACCGCCACCTTTTGCCATAGCCATATTCCACTACCGCTACCTTCCATCACCACTGCCACCACCACCACCCGCCACCACCACCACCACCACTGCTACCGCCACAAGAATCTTTCACCACCGCCTTCCACCACCACCTTCCACTGTCGTCACCACCATCTTCCACTATCACTTCCACCACCACCTTCCATCACTACCGCCACAAAAACCACCACTATTACCTTCCATCACAACTGTAGTACCCCTAATTTTCAAAAAGATATAAATTAGATTTCATTATTTATTTATTGCATTTTATTTAATTATCTAGCAATGTGCTTACATGGCTATATGTTTTTATGTTATATGCTTATATGATTTAATTGTTTGATGTGTATTATGGGTTTTGTTTGTGTGTATTTGTGTGATATGATCTATGTGACTTGATTGTGTACTTGTTTGCAATTATGTGTTAGTTAAATGTTTAATTGTTTATTTTTATTTTATTTTATTTTATTTTATGTTAAAAGGAATGGATTTGGATAGTAGTAATGGACCAACCAAATGGGTCACATGTACTACTTAGATAGGAAGCCTAAATGTGTAAGGATTACGACCCATGGATATTAGTTATAGGAAGCCTAAATGTGTAAGGATTACGACCCATGGATATTAGTTATATATATATATATATATATATATATATATATATATATATTAATGTGTGTATGTGTGTATATATAGATATATGGACATTATTATTAGTATGATTATTACTATTATTAATAATAATGGATGGAGCAGCTATATATATATTAATGTGTATATATGTATATACATGTATTACTATGATATGTATTATTATTAGTATTTATTATTATTAATAATACATGGAAGTTTTGTATATATATGGTATATATATATAATGTTGTTATTATTATTATTATTATTATTTTTATATAATGGAGGAATGGAGGAATCATATATATATATATATATATAATCTCACGTAAGAAACCTTCTAGCAGACCCACATATAACATATATATAGGCTACACCAATACCTAATCCAAATCCTACCCCAACTTAACCTTCTGACTTAATGGAAAAGAAAATAAAATAATTAAAGTAATAATAATTATACTAACTATTATCATTTGCATTTTATTTTCTTTTCCATTAAGTCAGAAGGTTAAGTTGGGGTAGGATTTGGATTAGGTATTGGTGTAGCCTATATATATGTTATACGTGGGTCTGCTAGAAGGTTTCTTACATGAGATTTAGAGGGAGAGGGACAAAAAGCAGACAAAGTTTAGAGATAACAGAGAGCTGAGAGTTGAGAGAAGGAAAAGGGAGGCCATGAGGAGGAAGGCTACTGTGGGTGACTAACCAGAACAATAGAGTGGAGGACGACGGCATCCAAAGGTGTCAAGGAGTTGACTGGAGAATAAGAAGTTGGGTCTCAATCCGAAATCCTTAAAGGCAAGTTCTATATTCTACTCCTCTTCTTTGATCTAGGGGTCAATACATGTTTAGGACAACTTTGGGATGATTATAGAAGATTAATGAACCTGTTTGCATGCTTTAATCGGATCAAAATAGAAACTAAATATGTGTATATGTGTGTATTCTTGATTTGTATGATTTTGTGATTGAAAGCATGATTTGTTGATTAATCTTGTTGTAAACATGTATAATCGTCTTAAATAAATCATTGGGACCCATATCAATGGAGTTCGAAGGAGTTGCAAAGGCTGGAAAATGGAGAAGACGACCCACAGCAGAAACGAGCCGACTCAGTTGTAGAATAAGCCGACTCATTCTAGAATGAGTCAACTCAGTTGGGAACTAAGCCGATTCATTCTAGAATGAGTCGACTTAGTTAGTCTGGAAGTTGAATTCTATGTTTTTGGATTTCAGATGACATTGTAACTTAGTTTAATCAATTTAAATGATTATCATGGATGGATTAAAATCCCAGAATGCCTAATATACATTTAAATTCTAGATTACTCTTGATCTCTATAGAAAGATTGTTGGTAGATCAAACAACACTCCTTGAATGCTTTGACTCTTTCAAAGTGTGATTGCTTCACCTTTGTTCTTCAAGATCTGAATTTGATGTAGAAGAAGCAGATATGCTTCTGTTATCGTTGTAGATGCAAGAATCAATAAACTTTGAACACGATCAGGATTTAAACAAACATTCTAAAATCACTCTTGTGTTTATGTGTATGTTCTAGAAATAAAGATAGAAAAATTAGATTTGATTTTCTACAAAATATCTTTCAAATAGACTTTTTAAGAATCAGAAGATATAATGCAAAAGCGAAATTAACCTTAATGAAAATCAAGGTTTATATAGAATTTCAAAGACCTAGATATGCATAGGAAAAAGGTAATTTTCGTGCATAGGACTTACAGAAAGTATTCTATATTAAATAGAAAGTTTAAACAGAATAGGAAACTAAAATCCTAAACTATATCAGCAAGTGGAACCGGTAGCCAACTTTGGAACCGGTTCCCAAAGAACATAATGCAATTCTTTGAAGCACATGTTCTTGAACCGATAGCCAAACTTAGTACCAGTTCCCAAAAGATAGTTTCAAATGGAAAGGTTTAAAACTTCTGGAAAAATCATGTTTTGGTAACTTTGAAGAACATATCATGTATGTATAATGTCCTAAGTGGGAAACAACTTCCTAAAGTGATGCTCATAACTTTTTCGTAGATCATAGTTTATCAAACTTGAACAACTTTTCAATTTCATAGTTGATCTCGATCTTGATTTGGTAACTTGAAAATTACAACTCGATTGGACTTGTTTTGACACCGAAATTAGCCAATTACAAAAATTATATCTCACATAATATACTATTTAGATGGCTTCTTCACGTTTTCAGTCGAAGCCATCCTAGTTCTGTCCATCTTCTTTCTTTGTTAATTTTCTATTCTCTTTCATGGAACACTAAATAAAGAGAGAGTTAATTGTGCACAAAAGCTGATACATGAAAATATTTTACAAATAAAATATTTTACGTCAAAACAAACAGAGCCTAAATTCAAAATTTGAAGTAACTTAGTTCAAAATTTGAATTGAATTTTCTTGAATTCTAATCCTAAATTGCTCATTCAGTGCTTTCAAATGGTATAATTTTAACCGTTCATGTTTTGACCCTTCATATTTTGTTGTACGTTCTCCATTCATAATTTGGATATAAATGTAGTTAGTATTCTAGTCATTTTGCCGCAGTTAGTACAATTAATGTGAACCAATTATCCGAGTAAATTGTGTTCCCTTTATCCCAAATATATATATATATATATATATATATATATGTCCCTTTTGGTGTGACAACGTTGTCACAGTTCCCCAAACGGGACATTTTTTTTTTTGGGAAGAGGGAGTATAAAATAACGATATGTGTTACTTGTATCAAAGTTTACTATCCAATTGTATCACCGATGGTATTTTTTCGTCGTTCAAAATAAAATGTTGAGGTTCACGCAAATGGAGAAGTTCTGCAATGCTATGGAATATCATACTCTCAGAAGCTTTCAGTCATTAACTCATCCAATAAGTGGGTTCACCATCATATCTAATGTCCGAAAGTCTCGAAAGTACGATACCCCAGGATCGATATTCTAGAATTTTCCAACACAAATGAGTGAATTTTTACCAAGATAAAATTATAAAAATAAAAAACTTGTTATAAAAGTCAAGTTTTAATATAAAGTGAATAACATCAAACAAATACATAAAAGAGAGGTTAAGTAATATTGTCACAAGATTAACGCAAATATAAGGCGGAAAAAATAAAAGAAACACACAAGCACAATGTTAAAAAATACAAATGTTTAACCGCACGGGTGATCTAGTGGTTAAGGGATCTCAAGAGACAAGTTGTAAATTTAGAGGTCGGGAGTTCGACTCTCATAAGATATAAAAACACTCTGATTTAAAAGATATGTGTAATTTGTGAGTGAATGCATATATCCACTATAATTAGTACAAAGGGGGCAAAAAAAGAAAAACACATTGCACCATATTTATTATCTATTCGTTTTTATTTTATATTATTAGAGTTTACAATAAGAATCTTCTTTAAAAAAATCAAATAAAGTATACATAACAGAATAAAATCTATGTGCAAAATATCACTTTTGGCAAATAATAATAATAATAATAATCAAAACAAGTGTTTATGTTTTTTATTGAATAGTTGTGCTTGGTAAGCACCATTATGAAGCCCAACTAGCAAATAAGGGGACAGTTGAACAAACGTGATAATACTAGTAGTAGTAGGAATATATATATATATATTGGACCACTAAAAATTCTTGATAAACTGAAACATACTTTACTATTATTCTTCATCAATGGAAGGTGTGAAAGATTTGAAGACAGAATTAGAGGTGTTGAGAGAGACTTTTAGGTCTGGGAAGACAAAAGAAGCATCATGGAGGAGGTCACAGCTTGAAGCTTTGCTCACTCTCCTCAAGGAAAGAGAAGATGATATCTTCAAGGCTCTTCATCCAGATATTTGGAAACATCCTGCTGAGGCCTACAGAGATGAGGTAAGAGAATTAGTTATACATATATATGTATTGGTAGATAAGTCAGAAACATGCACTGATAATATATTTGTTCCATTGAGACTCAAAACTCTCAAACTTCTACTAACAGTTTTCGGCGGGACAAGTCCATGACTGATACTGTACTAAGAAACAAGGCATTAATTGTAGAGCACATTGAGATGTCTACATTTTGATCTGATTGTGCCAAAGAAAGCTCAACATGGCATGTCGGCACTATAATTATTACTTTCTCATTATTTTATGTGAATTTCTGCAGAGTGGGACGTTGACAAAATCTATAAATTATGCCTTGGGATGCTTAAAAGAATGGATGTCAAGCAAAAAGGTAAGCTTTTTTTTTCTTTTAATTATATGTTATTCTTCTAGATAATATTCATATTGTGCGTATTTGGAATTTCCAAACTATGTGATAGTCCAAAATGACTAGCGGCCTATGAAGCACTGATACGAACACGGGACACAGATACGACACTACACACATGACAAATTTTAAAAAAATTGGACACAAACACGCTGAGCTCCGTAACCTTTCTGCTCATGGTCTTAGGGATACGTCAATAAAATAATATATATGTACACATTCAAAATCCACAATACTATAAATCTAATTTTCCCAAAAAAATATTGCAATAAAAGAAATACTTCAATTCATCATCTAAGCAATTAAAAACCTAGCAAAGTTATCAACAAAACTAGCCAAATAAGATCAAATACATTTCCAACAAGTTTAACATTCTTCATTCATCAGTGTATGTTTTTCAAATTTTTCAAAATTTTACTTTTAAACATTTAAAATTACATTAGGTACTCCTTTTTTTAAAATAAAAAAATAATTATAAAATATACTCCGCCGTGTCCAGTACGTGTCCTCCGCGTGTCCCATCTGTTTCCACCCCACGTCTAATAAAAAATAATTTCTGGACACTTCACAGAAATGTTCGGGCATGTGTCAGAAGGAGCGTCCATGCTTCATAGCTAGCGGCTGAGTTGATTTTTCATAACCCAAAAAGAAAAACATTTTGAACCAAATCTGAATATCTATTTTGATTTTTAATCATCATGTATCTTTTTAGTTTACAGGCTAAATTACCTCTAGCAGCATTTCCTGCTACAGCAGAATTGGTTCTTGAGCCTCTTGGCCTTGTCCTTGTTTTCTCGTCTTGAAATTTCCCCTATGGTAAGAAAGTGACACTTCAGAGAGTTTGTTGATACATCAAAGCCAATATATATACATATAGTTGAGAGCGCCATATGCATATATATATATATATATATATATATATATATATATATATATATATATGTAGGATTATCCTTGGAACCATTGATTGGAGTAATAGCTGCAAGAAATGTAGTGGTTCTAAAACCTTGCTCTGAAATGTAGAACTCTGATCACCAAGGTGCCTCACTCTGCAATCATCCTAAAGCCACTGATGCGCCTCATCTCCATCACACCACTACCACTGCCTCCACCAGCAACCATAGCTGTCACATTAACCACCTCGAGGGCAATGCACAGCTGAATTCAAATTTGAATTTGAATTCTTCGCAGACCTATGAACCACCAGGTATTTCACTTACACACTATGCTTCTCCTTGTCAGATTAGCTCATCTTCTACTGACCCTATACCTACTACCCAATGTGACCATACCCCTCACCATACATTACCTGTCAAAGACACCCCTATACTTACTACCCAATGTGACCAAACCCCTCACCATACACCTTTTCATCTTTCGCAGCCTTCATTGCCTGTCAAATCGCATTGCCCATTACCTAGCATTAAGAATAGTTCTAAACCTGTTAGAAATTAAACTTTATTTTATTTGGTGTTTTATATTTATGTGAGTTTTTTATTGGAGTTAGTGGGGGGCATGAGAGTTACAACTAGTAAATGGTCATGTTAGTGGGTTAGTGGGAGTTTTGCCTACTAAATGGTCATGTTAGTGGGTTAGTGGGAGTTTTGCCTACTAAATGATATGTTAGTGGGGTTTTAAGTTTCATTTACATTTATGTTTTGAAGCCTATATAAACCCATGCATTGTACTCATTTTCAATCAAGTGAAATAAAAAGTATTTTCCTCCATTTCTATTCTCTTCCAAATAGTATAGTGTTGTGTGTGTAACTAGGCCACTATTTTCAACAAAGTGGTATCAGAGCTAGTTTGTGAGAGAGAGAAGAAATGGCAAACAATTCGGTTCCATTTCAAATACCTCGATTCACCAAAGATAACTATGAAAATTGGTGTATCCGTATGAAGGAAATTTTGGGAGCACAAGATGTGTGGGAAGTTGTTTCCAAAGGTTATGATGAGCCAGAAGATGAGGCAACTTTGTCTCAAGCCGAAAAAGATGTTTTACAAGCCATGAGAAAGAAGGACCAAAAGGCGGTGATGACCATCCATCAATGTTTGGATGATGGAATGCTACAAAGAGTTGATAGTGCAGAAAATGCAAAGCAACTATGGGAGATTCTTCAAAATTCCTTCCAAGGAGTTGACAAAGTGAAGAAGGTTCGCCTCCAAACATTACGGGGTGAATTTGAAGCATTGCATATGAAGGAATCTGAATCAATTTCAGATTATTTTTCGAGGGTCCTGGCTATTGTAAATCAACTAAGGAGATATGGCGAAACCACCATGACTGATACAAGGGTCGTTGAAAAGATCCTTCGGTCGTTGGATTCCAAATTCAACTACATTGTTGTAGCCATTGAAGAGTCAAAGGATTTGGATTCCATGACTGTTGATCAACTCATGGGTTCGTTGCAAGCTCATGAAGAAAAGGTGGTGAAGAAACAAGAAGCATTGGAGCGAGTGCTACAAACAAAGTTTTCGTTGAATGAAAGAGACGAAAAACATGGAGGAAATCAAAGGGGCCGAGGACGTGGAAATGCACGTGGCCGAGGAAGAGGAAGAGGCCGTGGAAGAGGAGAAAGAAGCGGTCAACACACAACCAACAATGAAGAAAAAATCCATGACTCACAACAAATAAGAGGTCGTGGTAAAGGAAATTACTCAAGGTCATATGGAAGGAGGTATGATAAGTCTCAAATTCAATGTTATAATTGTCAAAAGTATGGTCATTATGCTTCGGAATGTAGAAATGTTGCTAACGATGTTGAAGAAAAGGCGAATTATGTTGATGAAGAAGTGGAGCCTACTTTGTTGTTAGCATACAAATGTGAAAGGAGTGATCAAGAAGATGTGTGGTATCTTGACACCGGTGCTAGCAACCATATGTGTGGTAGCAAAGAGAAGTTCGTTGATATTGATGAATCAATAAATGGCAAGGTAACATTTTGAGACTTATCACAAATTCCGGTAAGAGGGAAAGGTAAAATATTGATTCGTTTGAGGAATGGGCATCATCAATTTATCTCTAATGTTTATTGTGTGCCTAATATGAAGAACAATATTTTGAGTTTGGGACAACTCTTAGAAAAAGGCTACAATATATCCATGAAGGATTGTAGTCTTTCGATAAGAGACCCATTGGGTAATTTGATTGCCAAGGTTCCAATGACAAAGAACCGGATGTTTTTGCTAAATATTCAAGCCGACGAGGCTAAATGTTTGAAGGCTTGTGTTAATGATTTAACTTGGCTTTGGCACTTGAGATTTGGGCACTTGAATTTTGGAGGATTAGAGTTGTTGGCCAAAAAGAAGATGGTGAAGGGATTGCCTTTCATTAGCAATCCAAATCAATTATGTGAAGGATGTCTCGTTGGAAAGCAATCAAGGAAAAGTTTTCCTAAAGAAGCTACCACAAGAGCTACGGCGCAACTACAACTTATCCATTCGGATGTTTGTGGTCCAATTTCTCCATCATCATTTGGTAAGAATAATTATTTTTTATTATTCATTGATGATTTTAGCCGAAAAACATGGGTGTATTTTCTTAAACAAAAATCGGAGGTGTGTGAAATTTTTAAAAAATTTAGAGCACTTGTTGAAAAACAAAGTGGCTATGATGTAAAGGCTCTTCGATCCGATAGAGGTGGTGAATTCACATCAAATAATTTCAAAAAATTTTGTGAAGAAAATGGAATTCACCATCCTTTAACGGTTCCGAGATCGCCCCAACAAAATGGAGTTGCAGAAAGGAAGAACAGAACCATTCTCAATATGGCTCGAAGCATGTTAAAAAGTAAGGAAATGCCTAAAGAATTTTGGGCTGAAGCGGTTGATTGTGCGGTGTACTTGTCCAATCGGTGTCCTACTAGAAGTGTGCAAAACAAAACACCACAAGAAACATGGAGCGGAAGAAAGCCAAGTGTCTCTCATTTGCGGGTTTTTGGGAGCATTGCCCATGTGCACGTGCCGGATGAAAGGAGGACCAAGTTAGACAACAAAAGTGAAAAAATGGTGTTCATTGGCTATGATGCAAATTCCAAAGGCTACAAGTTGTACAATCCAAGCAATGGGAAGATTGTCATTAGTAGAGATGTTGAATTCGAAGAGGAAGCCATATGGGATTGGAACACTCCAAATGAAGATTATAATATTTTTTCAATTTCTGATGAGGAGCAAGAAAATGAAGGCATGGAGCAGCCCATTTCTCCACCAACATCACCTCCACCGCCATCAATTCAAGATCAATCAACTCCATCATCATCAAGTTCAAGTGACACACCACCACTTCGCATGAGGAGTCTTCGTGACATATATGACGAAACAGATGAGGTAACGGAAAGGTTAGGTGATCTAACACTTTTTTGTCTCTTTGCGGATTGTGAACCCGTAGGATTTGAAGAGGCGGCACAAGATAAAAAATAGAGAAATGCTATGGATGAAGAAATTAAATCCATAGAGAAGAATGACACATGGGAGCTTGCTACACTTCCAAAAGAGTAAAAGGCAATTGGTGTCAAGTGGGTGTATAAAGTAAAGCATAATGCAAATGGTGAAGTTGAAAAATATAAAGCAAGATTGGTCGCCAAGGGGTACAACCAAAAGCCTGGAATTGACTATGATGAGGTATTTGCACCCGTAGCTCGTTTGGAAACAATTAGATTGTTAATTTCTTTGGCAGCCCAGAACAATTGGAGAATCCACCAAATGGATGTGAAATCGGCTTTCTTGAATGGGTTTCTTGAAGAAGAGGTGTATGTTCAACAACCCATGGGCTATGTTGTAAAGGGTCAAGAAAACAGAGTCTTGAAATTGAAGAAGGCTTTATATGGCTTGAAGCAAGCACCAAGAGCATGGAATAAGCGAATTGACAAATATTTTTAAGATAATAATTTTTCAAAGTGCCCATATGAACATGCTCTTTACTCCAAAGTAAGTGAGAATGGAGATGTATTTTTTGTTTGCTTGTATGTGGATGATTTAATCTTCACAGGTAGCAATCCAAAAATGTTTGAAGATTTCAAGAAGGTTATGGCTCGAGAGTTCGAGATGACAGATATTGGCATCATGGCTTATTATCTTGGCATTGAGGTCAAGCAAATGAAGGATGGAATTTTCATTCACCAAGAAGGCTATGCTAAGAAAATTCTTAAGAAATTCAAGATAGAAGATTGTAAATTGGTGAACACACCCATGGAAGTTGGAATTAAATTGTCAAGAGATGAAGATGGAGAGACGGTGGATCCAACATTTTTCAAAAGTCTTATTGGAAGCTTGAGATACTTAACATGCACAAGGCCGGACATATTATTTGCGGTTGGGCTTGTTAGTCGGTTTATGGAAAGACCCACCATAACTCATTTCAAGGCGGCTAAGAGGATTCTTCGTTACATCAAAGGTACCCTTGATTTTGGGTTATTCTATTCATTTTCTAATGATTTCAAGCTTGTGGGTTATTGTGATAGCGATTGGGCCGGAGATTTGGATGATAGAAAAAGTACTTCGGGCTATTGTTTTTTCATGGGAAATACTACTTTTACATGGTGTTCAAAGAAGCAACCCATTGTCACCCTCTCAACTTGTGAAGCAGAATATGTTGCAGCCACTTCATGTGTTTGTCAAGTAATTTGGTTGAGGAATTTGTTGAAGGAATTACACATGCTACAAGAAAAGTCAACGGAGATTTTTGTGGACAACAAATCAGCAATTGCTTTGGCCAAGAATCCGGTGTTTCATGAACGAAGCAAACATATTGATACAAGATTTCATTTCATTAGAGAATGTATAACTAAGAAGGAGGTGGAGCTCA